TATTCAAGTTCTTTTAAAAAATAAGTTTCTGCCTTTAATCCCAGCACTTGGGAGGCAGAGGCAGGCGGATCTTTGTGAGTTTGAGGCCAGCCTGGTCTACAGAGCGAGATGCAGGAAAGGCACCAAAACTACACAGAGAAACCCTGTCTCGAAAAACCAAAAAAAATAAAAATAAAAAATAAGTTTCAGGGCCAGGTGATGGTGGTGCATGCCTTTAATCCCAGCACTCAGGAGGCAGAAGCAGGTAGAACTGTGAGTTCGAGGCCAACCTGGTCTACAGAGCAAGTTCCAGGACAGGCTCCAAAACTATACAGAGAAACCCTGTCTCAAAAAACCAAAAAATAAAATAAAATAGTAAGTTTGAAGGCCAACAAGGTGGCACTTGCTAAGTAACCTGGTGGCCTGAAAACTCTTGTAAAGGTGGAGGTAAAGAAGAGATTCCAAAAAATTGTTCTCTGACCTCCACAAGTGCTCCATGGCTCGGGCACCCCCATGCACTCAAGACACACACAATAATAATAAATACAATTTGTTTACATAGTAAGTCACTATGTATGTAGTCCTAGCTGGCCTGGAACTCTCTGTGTAGACCAGGTAGACTTAGAACTCATAGAAATATGCCTGCTTCTGCCTCCTGAGAGCTGGGGTTAAAGGTGTATACCACCATGCCAGGCCCTAAGTACATTATTTTTTTTTAAATACTATTCAAGCTGGGCAGTGGTGGCACATGCATTTTATCCCAGCATTTGGGAGGCAGAAGTAGGCAGATCTCTGAGTTTGAGGCCAGCCTGGTCTACAGAGCAAGTTCCAGGACAGCCAGGGCTACACAGAGAAACCCTGTCTCAAAACACCCCCCTCCCAAAAAGAGAGGGGGGGGAGGAAGGAACAAAGGAATGAAGGAAGGAAGAAAAGAAGAAAGAATACTATTCAAAAAGGAATGATCAGCCAGGCATGATGGCACACACCTTTAACCCTAGCACTCAGGAAGCAGATGCAGGTGGATTTCTGTGAGTGCAAGCCAGCCTGGTCTACATAAAGAGTTCCAGATGAGCCAGGGCCACACAGTGAGACCTTGTCTTAAAAAAAAAAAAAAAAAAAAAGAACTAACAATCTAGGACCAGCAAAATGTCTTGCCAAGTAACCGTGCTTAAGCCACCAACTGTGATGCCTCCATCCCCAGAACTCTGATGAGTTCCATCCCCAGAACTCTTGTCAAGTTGGCAGGAAAGAATCAACTCCACAGCTATCCACTGGCCTCCAGGCATGTACCATAGCACAAAATGCCCAAATTCACACATCATACACACACACAATAATAATAATAATAATAGGAAAATGATATGACAATATATTTTTATATAAAGCCACTTGTTGTTTATTAAGCTTTTAACACTTATATTTTCATAAAAGCTCATCAGTCAACAAATCTATGTTCAGAAGTATTTGGTATCTTAATGGCAGACCTGGCTCCAAGAAGACAATATTACCATATCTGCCTTGCTTATATGGTATGGGCTCTTAACATGTGATCTCATGAATACTGAAGACTTAAATAGCAACTGGTCTGCCCACATGAAACTTACGTTCTTATATCAAACCAAAACATCAATAGGTCAGAAAAAGGCATGTACAATTACGACTGTAGCCCATGAAAGCCTATAATATTTTTAAAAAATAACCCTTAGAAATGGATTGAATGATTATTTTATAGGAGAGAAAAGTTAAGTGTGCCAGTAAGTCAAGCGTAGTAGTGGACACCTGTAGATGGTTGAAAGTTCAGGGTCAGCCTACATTAGGGAGCTCTCGTCTCAGAAAAGAGGGAAGTCAATAACTAGTTCAAGAGCATAGACTAAATTGAAGGTCCTGAGTGATTCCAAATCCATTGCCTTTTGAAAATGCTAAGGTCCAATTTATACTGTTCACGTCTGAGACTTCTTCTCACCTTCCTGTACAGCATTGCTCCTGACACCTACCCAAAGAAAAGCTTGCAAGTCTTCCTTGTATTGAAATGTCTTTACTTGTCCTGGCTATTTCCTGTTGGCAGGAAATGAATTATTGTATCGTCCGAATGAAAAGTGTGCAACTTCTGGTAATGACAGAGGAGGCAGATGATACACAAAATGCTTACTCAGCTATATTTAGGGGCCCAAAGATGTGGTTGGGTGGCAGGTAGTGGACTTAACCTAGCATGAGCTGTGGCCTAGTACTTGATTCCCTGCACCAGAGAGAGGTGTGGGGAGGGCACACAGACACTGAGACTAAAATCTAAGGAGATGAGCTCACCATTTGAGGTGAAAAAAAAAGAGGTATTTGTTAATGCTGAAAAGCTGTTAAGACACTGAACATCATTCTGAAGTGGTTTTTAAGGATGTAAAGTGAAGGGAAAAGACTGTAAAGGCTGTCCTGGGAAAGAGGTCACCCCAAGTTTTGTTTTGAGATGCTGATGTGTTGCACTCTGGAACCAAAGATGAACTTGAACCAAAGAAATCTTGCAAGGACTGTGTGGTAGTTTGAATGTAATTGGCCCCCATAATCTCATGTTATTATTAGCAGGTGTGGCTTTGTTGGAATGAGTATGGCCTTACTGAAGGAAGTGTGTCACTGTGCGAGCAGGCTTTGAGGTTTCCTATGCTCAGGATACCACCCAGTGTCTCAGTCAACTTCCTGTTGCCTGCAAGATGTAGGACTCTCAGCTACCTCTCCAGTACCATGTCTGCCTGCATGCTGCCACGCTCCCCACCATGATGATAATGGACTGAATCTCTGAAACTGTAAGCAAGCCCCAGTTCAATGCTTTCCTTTATAAGAGTTGCCGTGGTCATGGGGACTCTTCACATGGTGACAGCCTGCATCTATGTATCATACCATGTTGAAAACAGCACCATGTCCCCAGTACCCATGTCCTTTGTAGTATTAGTGCCACCACTACTTGGGTAGAGGAAATATGTTATCTTTATATTTAGATATAAAACTTTACCTTTGTTCACAAATATTTCTACAAATACTACAACCTATAAGGCCTAGCGTCCAGTCATGATCACAGGAGGCAAGAGCCAATGACTGGAAAGTAGATTAAATGACAACAGCAGAAGAGGCCATTGGCTCTGCACATAGAATGACCAGATAGTGAAGATGCAGGTAACCAAAACTTCAAAAGCCACAGAAAGGCCAGGCGGGGGTGGCGCACGCCTTTAATCCCAGCACTTGGGAGGCAGAGCCAGGGGGATCTCTGTGAGTTCAAGGCCAGCCTAGTTTACAGAGCGAGATCCAGGACAGGCACCAAAACTACTACACAGACAAACCCTGTCTCGAAAAACCAAAAAAAAAAAAAAAAAAAAAAAAGAAAAAGAAAAAAAGTCACAGAAAGGCTGGATGTGGTGGTCCATGCCTTTAATCCATCCCCAACAGATCTCCGTGAGCTTAAGGACAGCTTGATCTACATAATAAGAAATTCTAGAACCAGACAATGATATAAATAAAACTAGGAAATTGGCGAGCATGTTTTTCAGTAGAAAAATACAATGAAGTGTTCTGGCTATCTGGGGTCTGAATGGTGAGTAAGAATAAATGAACAAGAATGAATGAATGGTGAACTGCCCAGACCTGTAATCCTACCAACTTGAGAGTTCAAGGCCAGGCTGGATAACTCAGTGAGACCTCTTCTCAAAACGAAAAAAGGCTCAGTAGTAAGGTACCTGTTAATCATCCATGAGGCCCTAGGCTCAATCTCCATTCCTGGGTGGGTGGCAAGAAGAACAGACCACAGGAGGGATGGGGTATAGCTCAGAGGTTTGCCTAGCATATGAGAGGCCCATGGTTTGATCCTCCGTGTACAGATCAACCAAGAGCAAAGCACACTGGTGGGGACTATGTCGAAGAAAGGGTGGAGAGGATGGAGGAATATCAATCAGTATTCTGGACTGCAGGACAGGGACTGCAAACTCGAATAATTTAAGAAAGGCTTAACAAAGGAGTTCTTTGCAACGAGGGTGGGATATATGAAATCACATAAGGTAGTTCATCTGGGTTAAAATCTTACCTGACAGGCAGAGAAGGAATGATCATTAAGATACAGGAAGGAAGCTGGGCACGGTAGTAGTGCCCACCTTTAATCCCAGAAGAGGCAGGTGGATCTTTGTGAGTTCGAGGCCAGCCTGGTCTACAGAGCAAGTTCTAGGATAGCCAGTGTATGTACAGAAACACTGTCTTGAAAAACCAAAATTAGTTAACCAATTAATTAGAAAGAAATAAAAATAAAGCCTTATAAAAAGCAAAAGACACAGGAAGGAAAGATATACAGAGAGGGCTGATGGGCCTGTGCCTCCAGGTGAGACATACCACCATGGTGACTTCATATCGAAGCAGCCACTGGGCAGGGTGGGGCGAGGGTAGGGCCATAACAATAGATTCACAAGCCTCTATCTAGATGTTATCAGTAAAGGTTGTTGGGATTTGGGGATGATTTGTCAAGTTTCTGGACACAGTATCAGTATAGGATAACCAACTGCATTTCATTGCATCATCTTTGAACAAAATAAAATTTGGGGAGAAACAAAAACAGTAACACTGAGTGTAGCAGTGCGTTCCTGCACTCCAAAACTCAGAAAGCCAAGGGGGAGTGATAAGGAGTTTCAGGCCAGCTTGGGCTACATAGCAAGACAAAACAAAACCCAAACTTACTACTTAAAATTACGAATATACAGTCACAAAATCTGGTTCCAGGTCTCTAAACACACACACACACACACACACACACACACACACACACACACACACACACACACACAAATTCATTCACAATATCATAAAGAATGCTGAGTGTCTTGTAACAGACTAACCTGTGGGAGTCACTACATGGGAAACTGTGAAACAGTATCAAGAGAATTAAAGACCTAAATAAAGGGAGAGACATCCAGTTCATAGATGTAAAACATTCAATATTGTAAAGGCATCAGTTCATTCTAAACTTACTTACTCAATATAATTCAATGAAAACACTAACCTCTTTATTTGTAGTATGATTAGAGGAATTCATTTGGATTTTATATGGGACGCAAAGTCTAAGAATAATCAATCTCTCTTTCACTCTTGCTGTCGATCTCTCTTGCTCTTGATCAAATTCAGGCCTCACTCATGCTACCAAAACTGTTTAAAGAAAGAATGACAATCAGCACTTGATCGATGTGTATCAGTATTATTGTTTTTTTTTAACATAAAAACAGGTTATAATTCAAAAATCCAGGGTTATTTGAAACTGGAAAATATTTTCTCTGTAGAAAATAGGAAAAATGATAACATTTCCCAATAAGCCTGTTTAAGCCAAATAATAGCTGAATTATACATATAAATATTGGTATAGCAGTAATGTTGTAGAGTGTGGTATTAACAGATACTGAAAATCGACCAACGGGACAAAATAGAGAAAACCAAAACAGGTCCATGAACTTGATATTTTTTTAAAGACTTATTTTTATTTTATGCATATGAGTGTTTGGCTTGTTTGTATGTAAGCACATGAAAGCACTTTTCTTAGAGGCCAAAAAAAGTATGGCCGATCCACCTGTAACTGGAGTTACAGAAGGTTGTAAGCCCCATTGTAGGTGCTGGGAACCAAACCCAGGTACTCTGCAAGAACAACCAGAGCTCTCAACCCCTGAGCCATCTCTCCAGCACCATGAACTTTATTTATTTACTTATTTTTTTACCAAATTAATGCCATAAAGCATTGGTAGAAAGATAGATTTTTTTTTCTTATTAATGAATTACATGGAGACAAAATAGCTACCATGAATCAAGGCTCATCTGGGCCACATAATGAATTCCAAGCCAGGGTGGCCTCGGTGTGACATCATGTCTCAAAACACCAAACAAAATTCTATTGTGATTGCTACCTTACACAAAGCACAACTCAATTTCATGTAGATCATAGATCTAAATATGAATCAAAATAATGATTTTTTTTTCGAAACAGGGTTTCTCTGTGTTGTTTTAGTGCCTGTCCTGGATCTCACTCTGTAGACCAGGCTGGCCTCGAACTCATAGAGATCCTCCTGGCTCTGCCTCCCGAGTGCTGGGATTAAAGGTGTGTGCCACTAATGCCCAGCTCAAAATAATGATTTTTTTTTAAGCCAGGTATGGTAGCACACACTAAAGGCCAGCCTGGTCACCATAAAGAGTTCCAGGCGCCGGGCCGTGGTGGCACACGCCTTTAATCCCAGCACTCGGGAGGCAGAGCCAGGCGGATCTCTGTGAGTTCGAGGCCAGCCTGGGCTACCAAGTGAGTTCCAGGAAAAGGCGCAAAGCTACACAGAGAAACCCTGTCTCGAAAAAAAACCAAAAAAAAAAAAAAAAAAAAAAAAAAGAGTTCCAGGCTAGCCAGGGCTACATAGTGAGACCCTGTTTCAATAATAATTATAATAATAATAATAAATAAAGATTATCATGCAAAGAATATAGGGACACACATACTACCAGTTTCAGTGTGCAGATATACTAGAGAAAAGTGAGTGAAAAGACATGCAAAGTGTCATCAGAGTGTGCGCAGTGATCTGTGACAGGTAACCTGGAGATGGGATGTAGTGGGGATTTCTTTGAGCCACCAACCAGCTCCCAAATAAGGACATGGAGGCTTAGCTGGGCAGTGGTGGCAATATATCTTTGCATAGTTAAACAAGTATTCCACAACAATGGGACATTATTATGTTCTATATATTATTCTAGGACAAATAGGGATAATGATCAAACTTTTGTGTAGCCACATGGTTGTCTGACCCAGGAAATTTTTTTCAAAGGATCCTTTTCCATTGAACTGAGTAGCCAGAGGGAGGAACACATTACTTGTTCACAGATGTTTCTCCTCAAAGCCATTTTGGGAGTGTGTGGTCAGGATTTTGTGGTAGGAAAAGACTTATAAATACCCACCAAAGCACCAACAACAAAGGGAAGGACTTACAGAGATGACTGTAGTGTGATTAAGAATGTCTGCCCATGTGGGGCGGTGGTGGCATATGCCTTTGATCCCAGCACTTGGGAGGCAGAGGCAGGCAGATCTCTGTGAGTTCCAGGACAGCCAGGACTGTTACACAAAGAAACCCTGTCTTGAAAACAAAACAAAACAAAAATCAATGTCTGCCCTTAGGGGAGGCAACTCCATTGGCAGGGGGCTTGTCCAGTGTGCTTTAAGCCTGAGTTCCATCCCCAGGACTGCATAAAACTGGGTGTGGTGTTGCACACCAGTAGCCCCAGCACCCAGAAAGCAGAGACAGAAGGCTCAGCAGAGGGAAAAGGATCAAAAATTCAACATCATTTGAAACTACATATTCTTTTGAGGCCAGCCTGGGCTAACATGATGAGACACTGGTCTCAATAATGATAATAATTAATAATGATAATTTCTTTTAATTTCAGTAAAAGATGGTCAAGACTTAAAAAAGCACTTTATCAAAATGAAAATTCAAAGTTCATATTGACATACATAAGTATAATATAACAAATATATTTAAATATAATTTAAGTGTACATATAATTAAGATGTACAGGAAAATCATAGTTAGCATATTCAAACTGATGCATTGTCTTTAGGTCCCAGTGTAATATCTACATCAGAGAGGATAAATAATGGTATGGATGGAACTCATTAGTGCTGAGAGAAAATATAGGTGAATCCTAGCAAGCACCTAGGATTATTGAAGAAAATGACAGAACTACATGTTTCTTTGACCCAGAGATTTACTTCTAAATACATGCTCTATTGAAAAACAAATACAGTCATGTGTCACATACTGTTTCAGTCTTTGGTGGTCTATAAGAGTGCACTGCCAGGGCTGGAGAGGTGGCTGAGTGGGGAAGAATATTACCACGCTGGCAGAGGACCCAGTTCAGTTTCCTGCACTTACGTTAGGCTGCCCACAACTGCTTGTAACTCTCGTTCCCAAGGATCTGACACCCTCTTTTGGCCCCTATGAGCACCTGCACTTGTTTGCACACACACAGACACACAAGCATGCACATGATTTAAAAAATAAAAAAATTTTTTTTTTTTGAGACAGGGTTTCTCTATGTAGCTTTGCGCCTTTCCTGGAACTCGCTTTGAACACCAGGCTGGCCTCGAACTCACAGAGATCCGCCTGGCTCTGTCTCCCGAGTGCTGGGATTAAAGGCGTGTGCCACCACCGCCCGGCAAAATCTTTTTTTTAAGCTGTTGAAAAAAAAAAAAGGCTGCATTACCCAGTGACACCATAGCCATCTGGTTTGTGTGAGTACTTTCTTTGATGGTCACATAATGACAAAATCACTCATGTTCTCAGATGATATCTCTGTTGTTAAGCAACACATGACTGTGCACATAGCAGCAGTATTTGCAGGCCACACCTCAGAAGCCACCCAAATGTCAATTAACAGGAAAGTGGATAAACAGATTGTGGTACAGTCATGCAATAATATTCTCTAGTAGTACTCAGTATGAAGCAATTATAGTTTCCTACAGCAATATGGTTACATCTAACCAAAATGATGTTGGGAGAAACCAAGTACAGGGACTGAGGAGATGGCTTAGAATATAAAAAGATACCTAACTTGAACCTGTTGTTTCCTCATGTGCCCACACACAGGTGAATGTGCATAGACACACACCATATAGACACATACATGTGCAAATAAATGGTAAATGAATGTTTTTTTATCTTAAAAAGACAAATAGAAAAGATCATAGATTATGACATTTTATTTATATGTATTTAAGTCTATAAAGGACAGTAGAAATATGATTGCCACATGAAGAGTGTAGTTCACTGGTAGAGCACATGCCTAGTGTATGGAAATCTTTGGACTCACACTCAGAAATAAAAGAAAAAGTAAAGTAACTTGACAAAATATAAATACTGATCTGTGACAGAGGTAGATAGAGCTGTGGGGAGCTGGAGACATTCATTTGGTAGAACGGAGGATCAGAAATTCAAGTTCATCCTCAGCTACATAGCATATTTGAGGTTACCCTGGGTCACATGAGCCCGAGAGAGAAAGAGCGGGTGGGTGGGAAGGAAGGGTTCTAAAATAACATTCCTAATGAAAGGTAGAATCTAGGGTGAGGTTTCTTTTTTTATATTTTTATTTTATGTAAATGGATGTTTTGCCTGCATGCACATCTGTGTACTATGTGCGTGTTCAGTGTGTACAGAGGCCAGAAGAAAGTGTTAAATCTCCTGGAACTGGGGTTACAAACAGTTGTGAGCCACCCTGTGAATGCTGGGAATTAAACCCCAATCCTCCTGGAGCAGCAAGTGCTCTTACGTCTGTCTAACCCCCCAGCCCCCTCTTTTAGATTAAAAAAATTTCACAAGCATAATTTTAGAAAGAGTACTTGACAAATGTTACTATTAACTGCCAACTTTGTAAACATTTGATATCAACAACAAAAAGCACTTACTGTTATCCCTTTTAATACAGGCAAAGTGTCTTTGTAACAAACAGTAGCAACACAGTAACAGCTTTGAGAGCCCGGTTCTAAAGACTAAGCTATTTCTTTTGACTGATACTTAGTTGATAAATAATGTAACGCAAACACACATAACCCTTAGATCATGCCAGTCAAAGAGGATCTATGGATTCCTACTCAGAAGGCTGAAAGAATATCATATTGGTGATTTTTTTTTTAAAGCAACTAATTCTGTTTAAAAATAACAAGCTAGGCATGGTGGCATACCCCTTTACTCCCAGCAGGCAGATCTCTGAGTTGGAAGTCAGTTTGGTCTAAGGAGTGAGTTCCAGGACAGCCAGGGCTACACAGAGAAACCCTGTACAAACAACAACAACAAAACCAAAGTAAGGTGTGGAGGAGTAGGCCTTTAATCCCCTTTACTGGGGAGGCTGAAGCAGGCTGATTTCTGTGAGTTCTAGACCTGCATGCTCTACATATTGAGGTCCAGGTCAGCCAGGGCTACCATATTCACCCAGACAATTCCAACTTGCCAACATCTGTAACTCTGAGTTTGATGTGGCCTTAACGGGAGGTTTCTCACAACTGCCCATCAAAAGCAGGAGCTTCTGACATGAAACAATTTCTCATAGCTACTCATCAAAAAGCAGAAGCTTCTGGACATCAAACAGTTTCAGACATTTTTTTTAACAGTCTCAGGAGCATGCTGCACCTCTAAAGTTGAGTTTTAAAAAGACGTGGTGAAGCCGGGTGGTGGTGGCGCACGCCTTTAATCCCAGCACTCGGGAGGCAGAGGCAGGCAGATCTCTGTGAGTTCGAGGCCAACCTGGACTACAGAGTGAGTTCCAGGAAAAGCGCAAAGCTACACAGAGAAACCCTGTCTCGAAAAAAAAAAAAAAAAAAAAAGACGTGGTGATGAGGCGAAGCTGCAGAATCAGCGTGCAGGGAAACAGGAGACTTGAAAGAGTATCGCAGTCAGGAAACTGCATGTGTGTTGCAAGGGAGAGATGATGAGACATGTCTGGAGAGGCAGCAGGGGGATTCTCATGCATGGTGTGTTGAGAAAGGAGGCAGCAGGACCAGTTAGGGAGCTCTTAGTATGTAAAGAGTGAGGTGGAGTACGAAGGGATGGATTCCAGACGTGCAGTCCACAGGCCTTAGTCATTAGGTCAACGGGGGATCATCCCATTAACTGAGGTGCTAAAGTCAGGTAAAGGAAATTCATTTTTTAAAAAACGGTATCAGAATTGAGTTTAAAGTTAGGAGCCACGAGGATCCAGAATATGGTAAGAACAGAGGCCTTGCTTAGTGTATGCAAGAGGCCTGGATTCCACCCGCAGGCTGAAGGAGAAGGAGAAAGAGAGGAGGAAGGAGGAAGAGAAGAAGCAGCACAGAGTAGGAGAAGGACAGAAATTCTTTTGTTGTTGTTGTTGTTGTTTTGTTTTCTTTTGTTTTTTGAGACAGGGTTTCTCTGTGTAGCTCTGGCTGTCCTGGAACTCACCCTGTAGACCAGGCTGGCCTCGAACTCAGAGATCCACCTGCCTCTGCCTCTTCAGTGCTGGGATTAAAGGTGTGTGCCACCATTGCCCGGCTGGTACAGCTGGGTTCTACCCCCAGCACTGGAAGGAAGAGGAGGAAGAGCAGGGGGAGAAAAAAGAGGAGGATGAGGACAGAGAGTAAGAAGGAGGGAAATTCAAATGTTATCTTATTCTTGGCTGAGGATGTAGGGCAGTTGGTAGAATGCTTGTCTAGCATGAATGAAGCCCTGGGTTGCATCTCAAGTTCTTTGTAAAACCGGGCATGGAGGGGCATGCCTGTAATCCCAGCACTTAGGATCAGAAATGAACGGTCATCCTTGTCTACGTAGTGATGTTTTTAAATGGGATTTTTTGGTTCCTGTCTTTCCTTTTACAGTGAGCACTCCAAAACAGCTGTCAACACTCGCTGTTTCTTCCCTGCGTTTCCATTTCCTCTGAACTCCTTTTGACATGGCTCCTGTCCCTGCTACTGCACTGCATTTGCTCTTTCTAAATTCTCCTGTCACCTGCTGAGCACTAAAATATAACATAAGCTTTTAAGTATTTAAAGTGCCAACCACCCACTCAGTTTTTGATGATAATTCCTGTTCAAAACTCCTTCCCCTCAAATTCAGCAATATTGCCATCCTCCGGTTTTCTACTCAGCACTGTAACATCCTGTTTCATCTGTAGACTCTCTTCTAAGCTAACACCTTCCTGTTACCTTCATTCAAACATTCTAGTACTCAGGGTTATACTGGAGGAGGTACTAGAGGCCAAGTCAATACATGCCCATTTAATCCCTCTTTCTCTAGTTTTCTTCTATATGGGAAGATCAAACACCCAATTCTTTTCTCTGACATTAGGAAGAGCCATGTGCCACAGTTTAGGACCATGAGCTATATGTAGACAGAAACTTCAGAAGTTTACTTTTCCCATTAAGAGTACCTGACAGGGCTGGGAATGTGGCTCAGTGGTAGAGTGCTTGCCTAGCATGTAAATGGCCTCAGCTCAATACCCAGCACTGCATAAATAAATAAATAAATAAATAAATAAATAAATAAATAAATAAATACATAAGGCATCTGGCAAAGGGAAGACTTGAATGTCATCATTCTGCCCTTTTATTACCAGAGCATACATACAGAATTGGAAGGGTGCTTATGATCTTTCAAGACTGGGGGTGACACAAAGATGGTGTAGGAGAAAGATGGTGCTTGCTTGCTGGCGTCATTCACCCATGCCCACAGTGCACTGCTTACATCCAGCTTTCTTACTGCATAACTAAATAAAGTATGTGTTTGTCCTTAGTCAATTTAAAGTTCACACTTATAGAAGTTTGTACTCTTAGATACACACCCCACCTTTTCATTATGGTAGAGGGGGACCTTAACCACCATCTGGACTTTAATCACCAATCACTATTCACTTGGAGATAGAAAACCCACATCTAGGGCCAGGCAGTGGTGTTGCAGGCCTTTAATCCCATTACTCAAGAGCAGATACATGTAGATCTCTGTGAGTTTGAAGCCAGCCTGGTCTACAGAGCAAGTTCCAAGACAGTCAGGGCTACACAGAGAAACCCTGTCTCAAAAAAAAAAAAAGTAAAAGTAAAAGCCCACATCTCCACCCTCTCAGTTTAGGATCCATGTGTCCCCCTGCCTTCTAGAGCTTCCGCTTAGACTCCTATCTCCAAGCAATTTAAAATGTGCACATTTTCTTATGACTTCCCATTTGAAATAACTAAGATTTTTTTTAAAGTATGACAAACACTTTAAAGAATAAATGTACAGGAGTTGTTTCTAGACAAAATGCGAATTGGTCTTCTCTGTCTGATATTTACCTATCTCTAAATTTGTTCTAAACCTTGCCATGTAAACTCACTCCTCTAGCCATGGAGGCAGAGATTCATTGTCTCATGAAAGCAGAAGTGTCTGGGTTGGAAAATGTGACTGGACAATAATTACTGCTGAAGATTCCTATTGGAGTGTGAGATCTGTAGAAGATTCTGCCGGACAGGACTGGCTGGCCATTCTTAAGACTGCCACCAGTGTGGGAAGCTGCACATTTCAGCTAAGATTTTTATCCCCCTTTTGTGGGAAGGGGTGGTGACTACCTCCGCTTTGACTCTGTTTCACTGATGACACATCTTCGAACATTTACTTTTCAAACGTAAAGATGTTGACTAATCTTTTAATGTATAGTGAACCAGACTTGACCAAAAGGCCTGTCTAGGTTCAAACACTGAGTGACCACACAAGCAATCCGAGGTTATTAAACCTATAAGAAGCTGTAAACCTCTCTCTCTCTCTCTCTCTCTCTCTCTCTCTCTCTCTCTCTCTCTCGTGTGTGTGTGTGTGTGTGTGTGTGTGTGTGTGTGTGTGTGTGTGTGTACAACAGTAGGAGTAACTACGGTCCCTCGAGGCCTACCTTTATTCTTCATGGTGGTCAGGAAACCAAGTTGTCCAAGGAAATGAATACTCTCCAGGCCAGGAGCACCAGAACGGCAGGTCAGCCGTTGCCTTTGATTTTACTTCAAAGCTGGAGTGGGGCAAGGTGAGGCAGGCACAGCTGCAGGGTGAGCCGGCCCTTCCACGGCCATACTTCCACAGCTGTCCTGTTCCCAAGGCTTCAGTGAGCCTGCCTGAAGTTTCTGTGAAGCAGGCCTAGCTGTGGCTCTTCAAAGCGGTGAAGACTTTTCTTTGAATTTTGGAACTTATATTTCTTAGACGTGAGTAATAGATAATTAAACCACATAATTAGAGTAACATTTACAACTGGAAAAACAGGTTCATAATAAATCCATCTGATTCATGGTCCTCACCCAGGCAGAAGTCGGTCACACTGGTTAGCAGCTGTCCCACTGTAAGTGCCCCTGCTATGGGTGTCAGCCTAGTTTACAAAGGAACAATACATATGTGTTACTACTGCATTAAAGGAAAGGAGGGTGACAATGTTTCTTCTCTGGATAGGTGTCTGGAGATTATGAATTATCTCTGTGTGAGAATTTGAGGAGGCCTCTCCTTCCATCCACGTTTTCTTTTTTCCTGTATCTGCCACATATTAGGGATGAGGGATGCTTCTCTGTTGTCCATCACTAACCTTACATTCATTTGTTTTTTACCTTTTTGTGGTGCTGGAGACTGAGTTCAGGGCCTTCTGCCAGACATATTGAGCTATACATTCACAGCCTATGGAGAGCTGCAGGGAAAGTGAAGCTGCAGGGAAATATGTGTGTTCTTCTCCCTGGTGCTGAGGCACTTAGGCTGAAACCTCCCTAGCAGTTTGGCTGATGGGATGTGGGTGGAACTGATGTAAGCGATTTTCATGTCTGGTCCTTAAAAGCTGCATGGGCGATCCTCCAGCCTCATTTTTACTATGGCCTAGGAGACTTCATAATCCAGGTAGTACAGTTGCATGGGCGATCCTCCAGCCTCATTTTTACTATGGCCTAGGAGACTTCATAATCCAGGTAGTACAGTTGCATGGGCGATCCTCCAGCCTCATTTTTACTGTGGCCTAGGAGACTTCATAATCCAGGTAGTACAGTTGCATGGGCGATCCTCCAGCCTCATTTTTACTATGGCCTAGGAGACTTCATAATCCAGGTAGTACAGTTGCATGGGCGATCCTCCAGCCTCATTTTTACTGTGGCCTAGGAGACTTCATAATCCAGGTAGTACAGTTGCATGGGCGATCCTCCAGCCTCATTTTTACTATGGCCTAGGAGACTTCATAATCCAGGTAGTACAGTTGAAGCTGTCAGAGATTCACCTCAACGAGAGCTGGCCCTGCATTGAGAAATAATTTTGTTTGTTTGTTTTCAAGACAGAGTTTCTTTGTGTAGCCCTGGCTGTCCCAGAACTCGCTCTGTAGACCAGGCTGGCCTCAAACTCAAAGGTAATCCTCCTGCCTCTGCCTCCCCAGTGCTGGGACAAAAGGTGTGCGCCACCAATGCTCGGCTGAGAATTAAATTTTTGCAGCACTAATGGGGGTCTGTGAGCCGCAGCAGACTGTGTTTGCCATAACGAACACACAGTTCACAGTAGGAACAGATCAGTTGCCTATGGGAAAATCTGGATGTTTGTAGAAAAATTTAGGATAGAAAACATTCACAAGCAAAGGAAATGTTCATGACACATCCTTCTGTAATACAAACAACAACAAATATGTACATATGCATATTTTTCATCTGTTGCTTATTGATAGGGACAGATTTGAAGAAATGTGCTGTTAATTTTCCAACATGTGAACATCATAGACTATACAAAAACTAATAAGGCTATAAAGTCACTAGGCAATAGAATTTTTTACAGTATTTATTTTTATGAGTATGACAATTTGCTGTCATGTATGTCTGTGCACTGTGTGTGTATAGTGTCCTTGGAGGCCATTGGATCCCTTGGAACCAGGGTTACACATTGTTGTGAGCTGCCATGTGGGTGCTGGAAACCAAACTTGGGTCCTCTACAAGAACAGCCATTATTAGCCACTGAGCATCTCTCCAGCCCTAGATGATCAAATCTAATGAAACGACTGTTGTACACATGATTCCCTGTTCAACATTGCTTTATGTGTGTTCAAATATATCCAACTCAAGACAGAGAACGTTTTTAGCAGCCAGGAAGAATCCATTACATAGCTTTCCAATCAGTATCCACCTCCTCCCAGATAACCACTCTTCTGAGTTATGTCATAGTCAATTAATTCTGTATGTAATTTTTAACATTTATGATGGATTTAGATGCTATTCACTCTTTTGGGGGTCTTTCTTACATACCACAGTGTGTAAAATGATGTTGGTATATGTGCCAATAACCCATTCTTGTAATCTGCTGTGTGATGTTACATTGTCTGAATTTACCAGTTGAAGATTCATTTTCCTCTCAATAGATATTTAGGTCATTCATGGTTTATGGCTATTGTAAGAAAAGCTGAAGAATAAGGCTACGAAAATTCTTGTATCTGTCTTTGTTGTTGTTGTTTTGTTTTGTTTTGTGGACAAGCTTTATTAAGGAAATGCTTTCCTGGCTCACTTTTCTTCAGTCTGTTTTGGCATGCTCCAAACGCTGTCAGAATGAATGGATCAGTGACAGCCAATGTGCACACTGTGTAGGATTTTCCACATGCTGTGCCCAGCTCAGTGTTATTGCCCCTGTACTGAAGGACACCAGTTCTGGCCAACGTGACGTAGTATTCTATTTCAGATTTTCTCTAAGCAAGGCTGTTGGCAAGAATAACCAGTTGCACTTTGCCCTATCTGATCATCTTCAGAGTCAGCTTGCACACTAGCACATACTGTCAGCTTTTCATAAAAGGTCGTAGCTATAGTTGATCAAAGCCAAAGACTTTTTCATCTTCTTTGTGGTCACCAGCTTTCTGCTTTAAGTGAAAGATGACTCCCAACCTAGGGCAACAGCCAACATGGCCTGAGAATGAGAAAAGCTTGCATATGTCTTTTGTAGATATATGCCCTCAGTTTTGGAAGCTACATATCTATTGGTAGAATTACTAAGCACAGGATAGGTATATATTTAGCATTTTACTGGGTTTCCACATGAAATTTAAGATTTTTTTTTCAAATTCTGTGAAGGTAGTCACTGGAATTTTACAAGTGTTTGGAATCTTTTGATGCTTTTGGGTATTATAACCACTTCACAATTTTAATTCTATCAACCATGTTCATCTTCTAGTGTCTTCTTCAATTTCTTTCTTCTTCATATTTCATTAGAGACAGATACTCACGTAATCAAGACCAGCCTTTAGCTCACTCTATAGCCAAAGGACGACCCTGGATTTCTTCATCTAGCCTCAGCCCAGCCATGTGTTGGTACTGCAACTATGTGCTACCATGCCCAGATCAGTGTCTAAAGTTTTATAATGGAGGTCTTTCACTTCCTTTGTTAGGTTAATCCAAGAGTGGTTTTGTTTGTTTGTTTTGTCTTTGTTTTTTAAGTTATTATGAATGGGAATTTTTTTTCTTGATTTCTTGCTCAATAACTTATTGGTAGCAAGAAAGGCTACTAATTTCTATATTTTGATTTTATATTCTGCAGTTTTCTGGATGTGTTTATCAGACCTAATTCAAAGTTTTCTGATGTCTTCTTCCTTTCCTATTTGTATCACTTTTATTTCTTTCCCTTGACTTACTGCTTCGCTAAGACTTCAAGCCATGTACTGAACAGGAACAGTGCAGGTGGGCTGGGAAGATGCCTCAGTAACTACCTTACATCCCTGGTAATTAATTCATAATCTCTTAATGAGTTATCAACCAATACTCATGCAAGACGTAATAAATACAGACTCATCCTTAAGAAGGTCAGGATGGGGTAGGAAATAGAAGGGTAAAGTGGCCAGGTGGTGGTGCACGCCTTTAATCTCAGCACTTGGGAGGCAGAGCCAGGCGGATCTCTGTGAGTTTGAGGCCAGCCTGGTCTACAGAGCGAGATCCAGGAAAGGCACCAAAACTACACAGAGAAACCCTGTCTCGAAAAACCAAAAAAAAAAAAAAAAAAAAAAAAAAAGAAGAAGAAGAAGAAGAAGAAGGGTAAAGTGGACTGATGGGATAAAATGTGGTACATGCTGTCATAGAGTAACATCATTTGATTGAAGCTAAGGAGAGAAACTATTAAGGAATATTCCTTTACACTGTGTGAAGATGTGTTACTGTGAGTGGTTCAGTAAAAAGCTGAATGGTCAATATCTAGGCAGGAAGAGGTTGGGCAGGATTTCTGGGGACAGAGAGGATTCGGGAAGGAAGAAAGTTGAGGTCACCAGCTGAATGCAGGGGGGGAAAGAAAAACTTTAAGATTGTATGTATGTAGTTGTTTTGCCCAGTGCATGTCTGTACAACTTGTGTGTGCCTGGTACCTCTGGAAGCCAGAGAGGGCATCAGATCCCCTAGAACTAGAGTTATAGATGGTTGTGAGCCACCATGTGGGTGCTGGGATCTGAACTCAGGTCCTCTGCAAGAGCAGCAAGTATCACTGGGACATCTCTCTAGCCCCTCACTTTGCTGTGAGTTATCATGAGTGACTGTTGAATTTTTGTCAAATGATATTTTTAAGCTATTAAAAAACTATAAAACTTTTCAACATGAGAATATAGTGGCTTAAATGGACCATTTTTTTAATGAAGCATGTACTCTGTGATACACACATTTGGTAATGATACATGATCTATTAATATATCACTGGTTTTCATTTGTTAAAACCTTTTTTAAACATTTTTTTAAAAATTATGTGTTTATGTGTATCTGTGTGAGGGTTTGTACATGTTGAGCTCAGGTGCCTGTGAAGTCAAAAAGTAGATATTGGATCCCCTGGAGCTGGAATTATAGATTGTTATGAACCATCTGACACTGGTGATAGGAACTGAACTTTGGTCCACACCAGGCTCAAACTTCCAAATTCTTTCTCTGTATTTAGTATCGCTCATTTGGTGCCTTGTGACTGACTGACACAGACTTTGATGTGGCAATGGACTGGCCAGATTCCTAAGCTCTTCTAGGAAGTGTGTACTCCAGACCGTGAGTTCTCTCCAGTCCTGCTACTGAAAATCTTAAGGATTTTTTATCTCTATGAGGAGTGTTGCTCTACAATTTTCTTTTCTTATGTTTGGTTTTAGTTTTAGGCTGCTGCAGAACATACAAGTTGAGGCAGTCACTCATCTATTTCCTAGAAAGAGTTTATAATAGAATTAGTGTAAAACATTTATGATTTATAAAATTTTATTGGCAAAGCTTTTTGGACCTAAAGTTTATCCTTTTTTTTTGTTTTGGTTTTTCGAGACAGGGTTTCTCTGTGTAGCTTTGTGCCTTTCCTGGAACTCGCTTTGTAGACCAGGCTGGCCTCGAACTCACAGAGATCTGCCTGGCTCTGCCTCCCGAGTGCTGGGATTAAAGGCGTGTGCCACCACCATGCAGCTGGACCTAAAGTTGAAAACAAACAAACATGGATTGATATGCACTGGTGTCCTCGGTCTTCTTCCTGACACCAGAGAGTTGTGTCTTCTTTCTTTAAGTTCCTAAACAGCACAGCCAGTGTCCAGCTGTTCAGTTGATCTGGCAGAGTCAGGTCTGGTTCAGTGTTTCCTTATTGTTTTTGTTGCCATTCCATTGACTTCTACTCTTATTTATTCCCTACCTAAAATATTAAAACTTTATTTTTGTTTTCCAAGTACTCTCGGTACATAAACACACACAGTACAGATTCCAAAGAGAGCTGCTGCTCTGCCTCAGTTTATCCCCCACAAAGAGTTTGTGAGACCAGAAAAGATGCCTTGCTAACTCCCTTACTCCTTAACTTTGGTCAGAAGTTAACCCTGTTGCTATTTGCTGTCTCCAGTTCCCCTTCTCTGCTAGTTCATATTCAAATCCTAAACACGCATGATCATCAACCAGGTCCTGGCCAGTCGCTCCACCTGAAGGCAAATCCTGGAAGTGTTGCTATCCGTATGGGCTGTGCTTTCTTCTTTCACTTCTTCATGCTGTGTTACCTCAGAGAATGGTTCTTGCCGTGCTTTGGGCCACACCGGGCTCAAACTTCCCAATTCTTTCTCTGTTTTTAGTGTTCTGTTGTTTGCTTCTTCAGTATCTCAAGACTAACTGATACAGCCAGACTTCGGTGTGGCAATGGATGTCGGGAGACTCAGGCTTTCCAGAGCCACACTATATATAATAAAGTCTTCCTACTGGGGGCGGGGGGCGGGGGGATGGGGGAGAGGGGCTGTCGGCCATCAGTGACTGGCAGTAATCTTACCTTACTATTTCAGCTAGACCTGACTTTGTTTG